GAGCAGTTTTAAAATAAGTCCCTAGTTAGGGCAGTACATATAGTTTTATGAATTTTGTTTGTGATATTTAAGACTTCCAAATCGTATGGTTTTCCTGTTTCCTTAGATGCTAACCTGTTGAACTATAGGACTGATGTGAGGACTAACAAAAGATGGATTGTTACCCATATCTTCTTTGTCACTGTTGTTTTTTTACAGTGATGGCTAGATGTGTGGGAAGATAAAACTGATGTCTTGGCTGTCTAGTAACAACACAGTCTGATAGCTACTGGCAACTTGTCTTAGGGCCTGTTACTTGAGCTTCTCCATGAGCTGTAGATGTGGTAGATTGGACAGATTAGGAGATGGACTGCGTGCTATTAAATCAATAGTGGGCCCCTTGGTCAGCCCCAGTCACTTTTTCTGAGGCACACTGCACTTAACAATTACCAGTAAAAGCTGCTCTCGTAAGTAGACAACAATAACATAATACTTTGGCCTTTAAATGCTGCAAGAGTTCACATGACAGATTTAGTTAGTTAAGATTGTGTCATTTTACTCTAGTGTGTAAGTTTAAAAGTTAGTCTCTACGTCAGCAAGACATAGGTTTTTTAATCTGTAATGGAATATATCTTAGACATCCTGTCTGTTTGGGAGACAGTAAAGCGAAGACTGCCTTAGGGATGGAGAGATAGATGGCTAAGTAGTTTAAAAAATTGTTACACTTGCAGAGGATCCAGGTTCAGTTCTCAGCACCTACGTGATAGCCCACAACCTTCTGTAGCTGCAGTTCAAGGAGATCCAACCCCCTCTTTTAGCCTCCATGGGCACCAGGCACGCATGTAATGCACTTACATGCAGGCAGACAAAACACCCACACACAGAAAATAAATCTGAAAGAAAAAAAAAAGAGGAAGGAAGGAAGAAAAGAGAGATTAAAGCCAGGCAATAGTGGCGCAAGCCTTCGATCCCAGGCAGAGGTAGGCAGAGGCAGGCAGAGCTCTGTGAGCTCAAGGCCAGCCTGGTCTATAAGCCAGGTCAGGACAGCCAAGGCTACACACAGAGAAATCCTGTCTCAAAAAACAAAAATAGATAGATAGATAGATAGATAGATAGATAGATAGATAGATAGATAGATAGATAGATAGATAGATAGATA